GCAGAGAAAAGGACGGAGGATCAGGTTGCCTCCTACACACCATGTTCCCTCTGTGGAACTAATGTCATTTAGCAGGAACGCCAGCAAACACGCAGGCGTGACCATGTGAGTGAGTGTGTGTGTGTGTGTGTCCCTGCGTGTGTGTGTGTGTGTGTTTTAGGAGATGACAGAGGGAGCAGGCTGTGTGTGTTTTTGAGTCACCTGTGCATGAATTATAAGCTCAGCTCAGACCGAGGGCGAAGTCGGTCCTTCTTTATGGTTTGACGAGTCAGTGGTCAGAGTGTGCCAGTGTGTGTGTGCGCTTGTGTGTGTGTGTGTGTGTGGGAACTTTAATCTTTCTAGACCTGAAAAACAACACGATTATAAGTCGTTTCAGGTCGAAGTTAAAACATAGATTATTAATGAATTGTGGTCACAGTCGTACCATCACGGTGGAGTTTAGTGACGCTTTAAAAGTTTTCTTTGGAAGTCCTAAAGAGAGAGAGAGAGAGAGAGAGTGTGTGTGTGTGTTGGTCTATTAGTGTGTGTTTACATGCACGCAGCAGGGGTGAAATAGTGCAACAAAGAGCAGAAGAAAAGACAATGACAACAGAGGACAACATTTTCATAACCTCTGCTTCAAACTCTTCCCCTTTTGATCTTTGAGAAGAGGAAAGATAAAAAATAAATAAATAAATAAATGAGCCAATGGTAAATAAGAATCGACGACAGACATGCATGTAAAAATGCTTTGTTAGTCATGCTGAACACTACGACTGTGTGTGTGTGCTCTCTCTCTCTCTCTCACTCTCTCTCTCTCTCTCTTTTTCCCAGCCTGTCTGACTGGACTGGACTGGAAAATAATAAGTGATGGCTTGTCTTAATCAGTTACCAAAAACCAGCCTGAGCCCTGGCTCTGAGTCTGAACAGACATAACATCATATCTGCTCAGATGTTCGAGGAAAACCTTTGGCATGAGTCACCCATTGGTCGCACTTTAACATTGAACTGTTCTGTTTTTACCTGACAGTGTGTTGCTGAGTGATTACTCAGATTGCTTATAATATGTCTGTGTGTGTGTGTGTGTGTGTGGGAGTGGGAGTGGGTGTAGGGGTGGGAGGGGGCGGCCAGTGGCTATCTCAGCACATTTGGACGCCTGGAGACGAGGAATCACAGAAGTCGTTTGAAGATTTCAGATGAGTGATGTTTCCAGATCTCATTAACTAAAGACTGCTGTGTGTGGATAATTGGAGACGTTGGAGGCAACGTATTTTGAAGTTTGTATAACAGAGTTCCCATTAACACCTGACAAACACCAAAGGCGGCCTGAAGACGCGTCTGGATTCGGTCGTGGTTCGAGGGCCTAAAATACTTACTGCGCAGGTGTTAATCTGAGCTGCCGGAGCCGCGGAAGAAGCTAAATCTCGAAATAGTGATTTTTCATTCGGCAGCGTTTGCGTCAAAAGCCTGCCTCAAAACGAACACCTGTTATAAATATCAAAGTGCAGCTCGGAGATTAAAAAAGAAAAAAAAGTCTGGATGATTTAACCTACATCCCAATCATAAAAGACAGATTATAAATAGTTCAGACATTCCTAAGTCACTTTGCCGGCGTATGTCATGTCACATCTTGATGAATCCTCAATCTGCAGTAAATGGCAGGTGTAAATGGGATCATTCATGCTCCAAGGAGAATGAGGGGGGGATTAGCTATCAGACAATATAAATTCCCCAAACTCAAGATAATCCACACTCCTCTGGAATCAAACGCATGCTGTTATGAGCATGTGGTCGGCACAACGACAGACCGAGGCACCGGGAACCCACAAATCCCATCCAATTTAGCCCCGACATCTCGGCAGTGTGTGGGATTGATGACCCATGTAGTTGGTCAGCATCAGAGCGCCGCGAAAACGGCTAATTTCCATAATCGCATCATAAATAGCGAGAATTCATTTAATCATCTCCTCTCTTCTGATGCTCAGGGCTAAAGAGTGTTGATACGATAAGACAGCCAGTTATTAAGGAAGCAGAAATAGTGAAGGAGAGAGAGAGAGAGAGAGAGAGAGAGAGAGAGAGGAGATCAGCCAGTGAGTGAGTGAGCTTGTCCTGATTTAAGCTGCCGCTTGGGGCCAAATGAAAATTAATTAATTTCTGTGAAGAATCAATTTCTGAGAATGACAGTGTCAGATTTAATGTGTGTGTGAGTGTGAGTGTGAGTGTGTGTGTCTATGTAAGACAAGCAGAGACTGCGTGAATGTGCGTTAAAGACGGCGAGAGATCACAGCCAACGATAACGTAACTAACTTTTAGGAGTTTCCTTCTAATTAGTGTCACTAAGATTCATTATCAGACTCGTCGTCACAACAAACGCTCTCCATTTAAGTTGGGTTTGTGGAAAGTTTTTTTTTTTTTTTTTTTTTTTGCTCTGGGCCACTTTTTTTTTTGAAGTTCAAACCTAAATCATGTTAAACTTGTTGCTTAGTATCCACGGCTTTCAAACAAATGGCTAGTAACACATGGTGGTGAGCTACACACGAGGTAAAAAAAGAAAGAAAGAAAGAAAGAAAAAGCCAAAGAATTCATGACTGACTCATCTGTGTGATTCAACCCTGTCTCTGTGAATGACCGCATATAAGGTTACACACCTGGAACCAGTGGTAAATTAACCGTGGGTTGAAAGGAACCTGTTGTTAAATGGTCTACATGTTGGTCTAGATTAAAGGTTGGATTAGAATAAACTTTTATTTTAATCCGTTTCTAAAGCAGATGTTAAAAAAAAAAAAAAGTTTAAAGTCAAGTCCATGAAAGGTGCACAGAGACATCAGGTATTAAAGGTAAACCTGGACCTAATGATAAAACTGGTCAGTGATAAATCAACTCCGATGAGGAAAAAAACATCGGTCGTGTCTCCAATCATTGACGACCAAAGAAGCCAGGATTAAAAAGTCATTAACTAATCGACCGATCGTCCGTCGTTACCACAAAACAAATTCACATTCAAACAGAAGATACAGTGTGTAGAAATTAAGAAGTAATTTGTGTTATTAAAACTTAAACAACGAGTATTTTATCAAAATGTAGTTGTAGTTGATTAGTGAAGTTACTGATTAATGGACTAGCCATCGCAGGCCTGGTTAACTAAAAGCAGAACAAGTTCACGTTTGAAAAGCTGAAATAGAGAAGTTGGTGGTTATTATCAGAACAGGTTATTTAACTGTCAGTTGATCATCAAAAACTCTTTTAGTTCACTAGTCCACAAATAATTGACTTACTGACCAATCATTGGGCTGCAATGATTGGTCAGTAAGTCAATTATTTGTTACATACCAGAAAGTAGCACACACTGAAAAAGTTGGACTGGAGTTGTTGGTATACTGATTAAAAGGTTCCTCAAAGACATAAGTCAATTATTTAAACAAACAAAAAATATGGTACAATGAATCGACGAGTCACCAACAGCTATCTAGATGTAGTTATGATAACCTTCACTACCTTCTACGTCACCAAAAAAGAGTCAAAATAAAAATAAATAAAAGTTTTCCGACGCTGGGTCTCAGTGTCACCCTCTCCTCCCCCACACTTCCCCCCCTCTCCCCCTCTCTGCTCACCTCCCGTTGGTACAGTCGCTGTACAGCGTCTCGAAGTCCTGTCTGGAGATGAGTTTGCAGCGGTTCACCCCGGGCTGGATGGCACCGAGGCCCCGCAGGACCCGCACCTGCTCCACGTTGCACCCCACCGGGGTGATGTCCAGCCGCTTCAGCTTGGTGTAGACGGTGTGGAGGCCGCCGACCAGGTGCTTGAGGAAGACGTCGAAAGCCTGCGGCAGGCAGATGAGCTCCGTGTCTTTCACCGTGAACGACGCCAGCTTGGCACCCTTCACCTCCACCAGCTTGCACTCGTTGTTTTGCGGCGTGCTCTCCACCGGCGACGGCGTGGCGTACACGGGCTTGGCGCCGCCGGACACGGGCAGAACTCCGGGTTTGAGCGGAGTGCCGTTGGGTAGTAAGAGTTCCGACCTGAACTGGTGCAGCAGCGCCTGGTGAGCCACCGGAGGAGCCGGGGAAGAGGCGGCTGATGTGGCCGCAGGTGGCGGGGAGTTGGTGGCCGGAGAGACGGAGCTCGGCGCCGGATGGTGTCCGAGCGGTGCTGCGGGGAGCAGAGCCTGAGCAGCCGGGCTTGCCATAGTGGTCATGTCCGAGACTTTCTAATGGGTTTATAAAACGACCAAAGAGGAAAAAAAAAA